TGTGTGTGTGTGTGTGTGTGTGTGTGTGTGTGTGTGTGTGTGTTTATGGTGTGTTTTAGGGTTTGAGCCAAAGCAAGACTTCATAAACGAATCCCAGCGGTTATACGACTCAGATCCAGCTGTGTTGGAGAGCTTGGAGCAGATCAATGAGTGGGTGGAGAAGGCGACACAAGGAAAGATGACTGACTTCCTGTCTGCTTTACCACCCAATGTGCTCCTCATGCTGATCAATGCTGTCCATTTCAAAGGTGAATGAGAAGAGAAATGTCTTAGAATTCTGCCTCTTTTCTGCATTTTGCTGAGGATCCCAATTAGAATAATGAATGTAATGACTTGTGCTTGTGATCAGCTGGATATTTGAGGTATTTTTCTGACTGAAACTGAGACCCTATGTTTCCTACAGGTGAATGGAAAGCTCGATTTGACCCGCGCTTCACCACCAGAGGCGTCTTCTACCTTGACGACAAGCGCATGGTTGACGTTGAAGTGATGGAAGATGCCAAACACCCTTTGAGTTTTTATATTGATAATGAACTGGAAGCTCAGGTGAAACACAAACACTTATTCTTAAAGGTTTCATTGCTGTTCTCAAAGATGCATCCGCCTCTTCTTAAACATGTAGTTTTGAAAGAAACGTAAAACCCTGACGGAACGGCATTTCCTCTCCCTCTGCAGGTGGCGAGATTCCCATTCCAAAAGTCCATGAGCCTGTTGGTGGTCATGCCTTTGTCCGGCCAAATAAACGTGTCTTCTCTCCTCCCAAAACTCAATATCTCGAGCCTGTATGAGCATCTGCCTAAGGAGAGGGCAGTTCAAGTTAAAGTCCCTAAATTCAAACTGGAGTATGGTCAAGAGTTACAGGATGTTTTTACCAAACTTGGTATGAGATGTTTATTTTTGCGTAACTTCACAGATCAGAATGTTGTTATTCAATGAAGCTGCTACAGACTGAATATAAAAACATGTTATATCCCCTGAGCTGAGCCTGTGCTTTCTCCTCTGTTAGGCCTGGGAGAACTGTTCTCCAGTCCCAACTTGTCTGATATGGCGGATGGCCCCCTGCTGGTGTCCAGTGTCATACACAAGTCCAGCATGGAGATTAATGAGGAGGGTGCAGAGGCTGCTGCAGCTACCACTGTGATCATCTCCCGCGCATCCAACCCCTCTTTCCACCTCACCCAACCCTTCTTCTTTGCCCTCATGGACGATATGACTCAAGTACCCACCTTCATGGGCATCATCAACAACCCCAACCCCGGAGCTCCTGTGATGCAGAGAGGAGAATCTGGAAACAAAGATAAAGTGGGATTCCCAATTGACAAGAATCAAGTTGGCGCATTTGGAGGCCCACCTAAGTAGGGACTGGTAACCTGCCTGGGTTTCCCAGTGAAACTCAGACCAAGACCTTCATGATGTACAGATTAAATGTACAATGTCACTTAGCTGGATCAAAGTCTACAAACAAGTATTCCCTTCAATAGTCAAATATTCCTATACAAAATAATTATAACTTTCCTGCATTATATTACATGTCCGGGTCAGGAGACTCAAGAAATGGTTTATACACAGAGTAAATTATCTGCTTTTCTTTTATTTGATATCTTATAGTTTCCATGGTGTCAGCTTGTAAAGCCAAACTGAAAAGTGTACAGCATCAGTGTGCATGAAGTTGACTTTTAAAATGTGTTATGTAATGGCATAATAAACTGAATTGATCTGGATCACATGTCAAGCTTATGAGTTTTGCTGTGAACTATCTTGAATGAAAAATAGAAGGTTGTACTTGCTGACTTTACAGTTCAAGATGTGTAAATTCAACTGGGCAAAATGCAAAAAAGATCGGTGAGGTGAACTGTGGGTCATTTTACATTCTTACATGGGTATTTCCAGCAAAAGACAGTAAATTGTGGTTGTACATAATAGGAATGTGTCCCTTCTTTTAAATGTAATTTGTGGTATTTGTACATTTTACATAATGACTGAATGCAATGTGAATTCAGGTTAAAGTAAC